CATTTTTGTGGATCTGCACGGTTTCGGCAGGTTGCACGCCTTCGGCATAGCAAGGAGCTCTCTCGACACCCAACAGTTTCATTCTCCGGGAAGGGGGGAGGGGGTTCCTTGAACATTTTGTGATAGAAAGTGCTGCATTTTGTCGTGGTTACCATTCCTTCTCGAGAGGGTGTTTCTGTTTGGAGAGCCTTTGGATTGGTTCAGGACTCACCTTGCGAGCGCTTTTATTCGGAAGCTTCTTGGGTACGCGCGGATCCAAATGCGGCTCAAGCATGGGACATGTCGGTGCCTTTTCCGGAGAGGGTAAAGCAGTCTGCTTTTGGAACCCGTGCCTTTCTCCACGGAGTCGACCGCAATGGCCTCAGGGCTAAGATGGCACTTGCGGATCAAGCCACAGAGTTTTGCAAGTTCGAGAGTTGCTGACAAGTTGCATTCGGGCTTAGCCTTCTTGAACACTCCGGCGGCAACGTGCAACCTGACACTCGGATCCCCCATTCCGTTTTCGGGACACGAGCCCTGTGACAAGCGAAATGGATATCGCCACCAAGCAACCTCCCTGAGGAAGAAGACAGCCACCCAGCACGCCTCGCGGAGGAAACACTCCCCGCGCCTCTGAGCCATGGGCGAAGAGAAAGAGAAGAAGAAGCGAAAGGAGAGGTCCAGGCGGATGGGAGTCGAGAATTCTGTGTTAGCTTTGAATGAGCTTGCGACGAGTGGAGCATTCATCAGTGAATGGGACACCTCATGAATCAACCGGTGGTTTTTTTCCTCGTCCGAGCCACATTTGAGTGGGTACACCAGTGGCCACTCCCCCTACCGTAAGTCTTTTCAGGGGTTTTAACAGCAGGCCCCCCCGCCCCCCCCTTCAACGGGAAAGGCGGTTGTGTAAACACCAATGGTCTGAGACCAAGTTGGCCCAATGCTGATTTGCAGACATAAACGACGACACGCTGAGCTGAACCGCAAGGAAGTTAAGTCCTTCATTCAACGCCAAGAAGGAACCGTCAACATCAGCGGCTTGTTTTGTGCTTTCGGTTGGGCGACTCGTGGCATTCATGGGACCCATGACAATTCTTGGCTTCGGCTTCTGCGAGTGGCCAAAACACGCACCGACATCCAGTGCGTTTTGACCAGGGGGGCTATCTTCCGCATGTCCATGGCCACTCTGCCGGGCTTTTCGCAATAAAACATATGCTGTGAGACTGTATAGGCTATGACCAGCTCAGCAGCTTGCTGAAGAGCAACTCTGCCCGTTTTCACGGTCTTCTGATTCAGAGCCACATGGGTCGGGGTCAAGAATAAGCCAGCAGGATATGGACCGCAGGTTTTAGTCCATGTTTCCGTCTACCAGAACAATCCCACTTTTGGCGTTGCTCCATTTCTTGACAACCACAGCCATATCCAGAGCCCCAATAGAAGTTCCATCAGGTGCCAATGATGCCATGGCTTTGAATCAGATAAACCGAGGTCCCGATCGAAGGGGCGCAAACAGAAAGACGACGAGGAGGATGAGGAGCTCAAAAGGTCGTGCTTTGTGTCATCCTCTCACTCCCTGAGTGCATGGGCTTTAAATGTTTTCAGTAGCAGCGGATACCAGCGAGAAGTGGTGTTCACTGGTTGACTTGTGGAGTCCCTGCAAGAAAGCATGGCATCGCAAGGAAACGCCGGGCCATGTCAGGAGTATCAAAAACGGCGGGACGCCGAAAGGGCTAAGAAGGAAGAGGCACAGGGCGCCGGGCAAGGACAAAAAGGAGCGAACTCGGCCGATTTGGAAGGTCCGGTTCGACGGGGGAAGTTCATGATTTTGCGGTTGGTGGAGTACAGTACCATTTGGCCTGGTTGAATCAGTTTGTGCAAGAGGCAGCCACTTTTCGCACAATGCGTCGGATATTTCTGGGTTGATGCGTCTTGGGGTTTGAAGGAGCCAACCGCTCGCGCGGCAAGCTTGGCACTTTGTGTTGGTAGCTTAGGCGACGGCTGCTATTGGACTCAGACCAAGCTGCGGGTGAGCCATGCGGGAGCAAAGTTTGCGCGGAGCCAGGATGCCATTCCAAAAATGCCAAGAGGTTTCGGGTTGGAAGCTTTGTGCCAAAAGCTGTGCGCTCAAACAGACGCGGGACCAGACCTGACTTTTTCCAATGTCTGAATATCACTCACTTTTTCCCAGATTGACGCTTTTTGATACCAATGTGGCAACCTCACAAACCACAGAAGACGCTTTTTCAAATACCAAATGCCTACCTCTCAATACCCGTTCCACGCCTGGGGTTGGATGGAACTCGGAGAGGCGCTGAAGAAGCGAGAGGAGCAGCGTCAGAAAGAGGAGGAGGAGCAGGAGCCAGCGGGCGGCTGAAAAAGGAAGATAGCTCCCTATATTTCCCCAGAAAAAGAGAAACTCTGGTTTTTGGACAGGACCTTTTGGCTGAATCGCCCGAGCCGCCCGATCAATCCGCAAGATGTTGTTAGATGGATTGTGTCTCCCTGGTTGTCGTGGTGTCCCAATCTGGATTGCGGCAAATGGGCTGCTCCGCATTTGGTTTAAGAGTGCCGGCCAGAACTGGGTGCATCAAGATTTCTGCCCTCTCAATTCTTTGCTGGGGGTTTTGGTCGGACTCCTTTATAAGGCTTTGAGCCAAAACGCAAGGAACCCAGAAGAGCTCCAAAATGACGGTTGGTCGGCTGGTTGGCTGGCTGGTTGGTTGGGTCGGTTGCTTGGTTGGAACGTACAGCCTCCCTTTCCTCCACTCCCGCCAAACAAATCACGAAGCTGACATGTCCACGTGTGGGCGCGCCTCTGGCGACTCCAGGAACGCCAGAAGATGGAAGAAGACGCCAGACGCATGGACCCAGCCTCAGCATGTCTTCGAGACCTTTTCTCCTGTGAGGTGTGCTCAAGATGTCTTGATGCGTCTATGGTTCATTTGGGCGGGACGTAGAAGAGCTCACTAGATCCCCCACAAAATCCGGCTCGCGCAATGTCCGATGTCCTCTTGGGGAACAAGCCATTTCGACCGTGTTGCTTTGAACTGTTTCGCACGGCCCGCCGCGCCAGAGACACTAGTTGGAACAAACCAGGGCATGCTGCACATCGGTTTTTTGGCGGGGGGAAGCCGACGCCTTTCCTCAGAACCCGACTGAACCTTAGAGCCGCCCACCACCCCGGAGCCTATCTGGGCTGAGACCCCAAAGCCTTTAGCTGTTGGGGACAAAGCCAAAGGCACCTTTCCTCATTTTCATGAGCCAGTTGAATCCAGGAGGATCCGTCCTTAAGGATCTGGGCCCTCTCAGATGCCACAAATACGGGATCCCCAAGCAAAGGACCATAATGAGCTCCTTTTATTCTGATGCAGGTGAGGTTGACAAGCAGCAGTAGCAGGAGTATACCCCGGACCCTGCCGGGCCAAGAGCCAGGCCAATGTGAGGCCCTTTCCACACTGACCCTCAAGTTCCAACCAGATTCCAACCAGACCCCTTACACAAAAAACAAACTATAATATGGGAAACACGTCTAAAAACTTAACCCCCTTACCAAAAACAAAAAACACCTATAATATGGGAATGCATGGGCTTTTTTCCTGCCCCGGCCGTCTCGGGTTTCAGGACCGAACCGTCATGGTCGTGGGCCGCGGGCCCAGAGAGAGGGGAGTCCGCATGGACCTCGGGGCCCTAGAGGTTCGCAGGTTTTTGGGTTCTGCCGTGGTAAGCGTTGAAGGTCTGCCGCGGTAAAAAAACAAGTTGAACACCAGTTCAAAGCAACGAAGTGCAAGGAACATAATGGTGTGTTGCATGAATTACCTTTTTTTGTTTTTGTTTTGGCCAAACAAGTGGCTAGCCTCCTTTTGGTTTCGCTTTACAAGCAAAGAGGGGTGCCAGACGTCTGGACTCCGGGGGTTCAACGCTGGGAATCCCGGGCTTGCAACATGATCTGAAGCCAAGTCCTCGTGGACCTCAGCTTCCCTTTCCCACCACTTTGCTGTAAATCCCGAACTGGGCTTGCCCGAACACAGGGGTCCTTGTACGTCCTTGTTTGGTGTAACACCTTTTTGGCCGATTTTGGGAGAAGTTTCATTTTGGGATGGAGGTTAGAAGGGGACAAAAGAGAAACCCTGTTGACCTGTAGCGCCAAAGATGCAACTCCTTCGCGGAGCTTGAAACTTAGGCAGGCTTCGAATTCCTAACGTTTGTCGGTATTTACAGGGGACTCATCATTCCAGGGTTGCAAAATGAATTCCGCAGCCATCCACAGTATGTAAGGTTAATTTGATCCGGGGTCGACCAAAAAACCACCGGGTTTGCCTTCCTATGGAAACCAACACCTGAGAAACGGTTTCTGTTCCGGGGCATATGAACAACAGCAAGCCTTTCTGGGTCACTTTTCCGAGGGATGTGCGAAAGGGATGTTTGCGAACACCAAAAAAGAGAAGAGGGTCCATGAACGCCCCCTGTTTTTTGGGGGCTAGAGAATCCATGTGCGATCATCCCACACTCCCTGAGAATCTTGAGCAGGGACAATTTGTCAGCAGTAGTTGTTGCACAACTTGTTTTTTTTTGCGCAAGCGATCCAGTACCCCCTGGCTTGGATGGCATTCTACACTTCCTGAACATCTTGAGAAGGGAAATCTATCAAAAGTGGTTGTTGCCTGGTTTGGATGGCTTGGATGGAGCTTCCCCGAACCTAAGCAAGAAGCCGCCAAAAATCTACGTGGCCCACGGGGTTCTTGGGCCGCAGCTGTGAGAACTGAGCCGGAGCAGGGGCCAGCCAGTCTTTTTTGAAACCCTTGTGCCAAAATGGGGGAGGGGGGGTAGCTAGTCCCCTGTCTGAAGCACAGGTTGACTCAAAAGCCAAATGAGCCACCATCAAAACCGATTCGGGTAACCGAAGGTTAGCAAGGGGCAGTTTCAGCCAGAACTAGCTGCGGCCGCCTTTTCAATTCCTCACCTAACTTTGGGACCCTTTTAGTCCAATCTTGGGTAGACCATAAGTTTGGGTCACATAGTTTTAGTACCGATCGGTTTGGATCGCGACGACCAAAGTCTCGATCTCGGCAATCAGACGCACCAAGCGCCGACACAAAAAACGCTTCCCGAGGTCTCAGCACCCGCGCGGACGAGCGGGACGTCTTCGAGTTCTTCAGCGGCCGCGCCGGGGTGGCTCGGGGGGCCCAAGTTTTGAGCGGGAGGGGACGGGACGGCCGAGGGACTCGCTCCAAATGGGTGGAGCGATTTGCGCGCCTCAGCCGAGAAGTTGGAAGTTGGAATGTATTTTTTTCCGCGAGTTTTTTGTTTTGTTCGCTTTTTTGTTTGTTTGCACCGCTCACATGCAAATGTGTTCTTTTCTCATTTTCGAGGTGCATGAATCGCATGAATCGCCAAGTCTTGATGTGGAACTGCGGATGGAATGGGTCAGCCGAGGTATCCTCAAGATCTCAAAACGGGCCAACCTCGGAAACCTGGTTCGGCGGCTGAATTCGCCGATGCGGGAATTCCCCAGCTGGTTTTGAAATGTTGCAAGGACATTTCGGCCACAAAGAGGGCATCAACTTGTGGAGTGGGGTCCGATAGATGTTTAAAAGGTGCAACTTCAAGTTGCACGAGCGGATGCTTCCATTTACAGAGGCCTGGGAGCTTCGGGAGTGTAACCACTAGCTTTCACTGCTGTAAGAATCCGGGTTTCGTTGCACTTCTGTGATACCAGGGAGATTCTGCCCCTTGAAGTGAAGAATGAGTCATTGGGAATGCCTTCCAGTGGTATCACAGAAGTGGTCGCACTTCACAGAAGAGCATCTCAAAATGGTGTACGCCTGGGTGGAGTGGTTTTGGTTTCCTTTACAAACGTCCCGCAAAAAGGTGACCCTGCCTCCAACACTGATGGAAGCTGACAGAAGGGTTCCGGACGTCAATTCGGCCCTTGGAACCCGCTTGCGTGGTTGGAAAGAGGGAGCCCAAGGTTATCCATTTTATTTTTTCCCCAACAGCTGAACGCTTTGGGTCTCAGCCCAGATAGGCTCCGGGGTGGTTCGGGGCGGCCCTGAGGTAAGGTTCCACGAGGGTTCCACCAGAGTTCCACCAGAGTTCCACCAGGTTCTGCGAGGGCTGCGGGGTGGTCTGGGTTGGTTTGAGGTAAGGTTCCACAAGGGTTCCACCAAGGTTCCACCAGGTTCTGCGAGGGCTGCGGGCTGGTCCGGGGTGGTTTGAGGTCAGGTTCCACGAGGGTTCCACCAGGGTTCCGCCAGGTTCTGCGAGGGCTGCGGGGTGGTCCGGGGTGGTTTGAGGTAAGGTTCCACGAGGGTTCCACCAACGTTCCACCACCGGGGTGGTTGATCTAAGGGTTCCAACAGGGTTCCACCGGTTCTGCGAGGGCTGCGGTCCGGGGTGGTTTGAGGTAAGGTTCCACGAGGGTTCCACGAGGGTTCCACGAGGGTTCCACCAGGGTTCCACCAGGTTCCGCGAGGGCTGGTGGTCCGGGGTGGTTTGAGGTAAGGTTCCACGAGGGTTCCACCAACGTTCCACCACCCAATTGGTTGATCTAAGGGTTCCACCAGGCAACGCGTTGGCTTTGTGGCAAATCAGATCACGTTGCTGCGGGACTCAGTGTGTAGCAGAGTAAATGCTTGGCATGTCTGAGTATTACTTGGTGGGCGTTGTGTTCCAAGGGTTCCACGAGGCTGCGATGGCTACGGGGTAAAGTTCCAAAAGTGCTCCACGAGGTTTCCACCAGGTTCTGCAAAAGCTATGGGGCAGCCCTGAGGAAAGGTTCCAACAACGTTTCACGCTGAGCTCCGCCGAGGGTTCCACGAAAACGGTTTGCGGGCCCAGTCGGGCAGGTTGGGGCCCGATTGCCCGATTGCACCGTCGGGGCCCGATCGGGCCCCAATTGCGCCGTGCCCCGATCGGGCCCCATCAACTACCAAGCTGGCGTCGCCTAGTTTTGCTAGATACAGTTGTAAGGCCGCATCCTAAGGAAAACCGGCGTTGAGCTATAATATGGGTGTCTGCGGTATCCTCAGCAAAACTGGTGGTGAGGTGGGTCCCGGGCGGAGGATTGTGGGAGGGTGGTGCTGTTGGGGATATCGCCTGAGCTTTTTTTTTTCCAAGGGTTCCCTTTACCCTCAAAACAAGACATCCAAGTGGGGCATTTGTCCATGGATGTCGTCCTCAGGTCAAGGACGTCCAGATCATCCGGGACGCGCGTACTGGGAAATCTAAGGCACGGGCGATGACCAACAAAACGAGCGGCGCCGAGTTCGGACGTTTTTCTTGCCGGGTTTTGGACCACCTCTTAAGCCATAGCCATACTGTGTTTTTTTTGTTTGGGTGTTTTTTTTTGTGGAATCCCATTCGGGGGGGGGGGGGGGGCTTCAGAGATGCCCAGCCTTACGCTTCTGTGGATGCCCCACCAGCGCGGGGTATGACGGTATGTCACGACCTCCAGGTGCCCAAGGTGGGCGGAAAATCTTCATGGAGACCAATGGCGCTTTCAGCGCGTGTCCAATTCGTCCGGATTGGACGAATCTGTGGACCAAGATAGACGCCGCCGGCAAGGACGTCAGGCTTATTTAGACGAGCCTTAGGGAAATTCCCCCCCCTTTCTTGCCACACCTCTTACAAATTTCATCAAAATGGGGAATTCCATGGATCCAATCCTCCCACTCTTCCGTGTCCCTCACAATTTCCTCAGACAGACTTGTGTCTTCCTTTTGATCCCTGCTTCTGCTTCAGAGCCTCGAAAGGACCAAACCATGGGGTAAGGGTAAAGGAAAAAATCATGGGGTAGAACATTTCGGAGACCCCCTGTAAATGGGTGGTTTGGTTGTGATTCGTATCCCTTCAAGTTTGTGGGTCGTAAATCCAGCATCATAAGCGATGTGCACCAAAAGGTCCAACCAATTGGAACTCATGCCCGAATCGCATGTTGGTGGCTACCGCCTGCCTTTTGGTTCTTTCTCTACTGCGCGTCTTCGGGTTGCCCTTTCAAGCAACTCCACAACTCCTTTTGGGGGCCTTTGGGGCGTGCATAAGGGCGTCAACATTTTTGGTCTTCCTTGGTGTTTTTTTTTTTCTCCCCGGAAGAAGAGCCCCTCAAAAACGGACACGCCTGTTGCTCTCTGTTACTTTGCGACCTCTTTTGTGATGGATCAAGTTGGACTCTGGGTCAGCTTAGTGGTTCGCAACCGTGCATTGGACAGGTTTACATAGAGGGATTTATGCCGTGTTTCAGAGAGTTGTCCATTGTCCTGAGCTAAACACCTGCATACACCTATCCTGTGCAGACTTTCCTTTTGTTCTCTAGCAAGAGAGAGCTGCGATTGGCAAGAGGGAACCACTGGCTATGTTGGCCTGACATGGACCTCAATTGATTCATATAAACAAAGTGTGCATATATATATATATTCTCAATCGTTCCAGTATAGGATAAACAAACATGTTATAAATTGTAAATCACTAACTACTTTCAGCACTGTTTTCCAGCAGAGTTTTAGCTTCAGCAGCAGGGACCCCAACAACTAAAGCGAGGCTTGAGCCGCGCACAAACCTGAGTCACTGACGGCCGGTAGGGGGAAGCCCCAACCATGCGGACAGATTCCCGCCGTGTTGAGTCCTTACCATGTTGGGCGGTCTCCTTTAATAGGTTGATTCTGACTCACTGCCTTATCTCAACTTGGGAATCCCCATCCAAAAGGTTTGTTCAAGTGACCGAAGGTGAAATCACGAGCCAAGGATTCTTGCAGTTGGCAATTTCCGTGGCTTCCCAAAGGAACCTTCAAAATCGTCGCCCAAAGGAAATACATGGGTGGCTCGTCTTTTTTGTTTATATCCCCTTTTTGCTTGGTTTTATGGGGGCACCAAAAGGGAGAACCACCTTTGAAGGGTTAACGGGTCGAATCGTGGTACTGGGCAAGGTTCCGTCGCGCCTCGTACCCAAGTCTGAGAAGCGGATTGCTCATTTTATGCCGAGGGGTAAAACGAGCTGAAGCCCACGATGTAGATCCTTGACCTGTGGTTTTGGGAAGTCTTGGCACAAGTGCAGATGTGCTTATGAGGGCCCTACCCTCCAGTTCTCCCATTTCTAAGCATTTGCTGGGTTGTGGATGGCTACAACCTGATTTTCCTTTGTACTGCTGTGGGTGGTTGCGAAATCTTGCACCGCTTTGAAACCATGGGAAACCATGGTTTGTTGGTATTTACAGGGAATCAAATCATTCCAGGGTTTCTGAATGGTGGTGCCTAAGTGGATTTTCGCAGCCATTCACAGTAGGTCAAGGATGGGATGCTTCCAGCGCAGAGGGCTTGAACCTCCCAAGTCCGCAGGGGGTTTGCTTCGTGGAGTTCTCCGCGGCGGAGGGCATGGTGAAGTCCCTGAGCATGACTGGCCAGGCGGTCGGGTAAGCTTCAGGCCCAAAAGGAGACCAACACTCTGGAAAAAAGGCGCAGCAGATGGTGGTATGTGGTAGGGGACTTTTGTTGATCCGTTTTGTCCGGCTGGTGCTGAAGGAAGGCCAAAGGATGGGCACCAACCATTTTGGATTAGAAGATGTTCCCTCTGAGTGGGCGGGTGGGTGGGTGGGTGGGTGGGTGGGTGGGTTGGTTGGTTGGTTGGTTGGTTGGTTGGTTGGCCATATCCCCAGCATCACAGGCAGCAATTGAGATCACGGCGGCACACTCACCCGAAGCCAACCCCGGGCAACTGGCAACTGCCACCAAATCAGATCAATCCATGCTGGTGAGGCTGGTGATGCTGGACATGTGGCCAAACCAAGTTCTTGAAACAGGCTGCTATGGCTCTATGGCCAAGTCGAGTTTAAGAATTGGAGAGGGGCTAGTAAAACAAAACACAAAGAAACCCGAAGGAATGGGTGTGGCACCACCATTGGGTCAACCTATTTTGCGTCCGAAGCCACTTCTTCGCGATTTGGAGGGGTTCAAGTGCAAAGCAATCCAAATATGAATCAGGGTTGACATGCTGCCATGTCGTTCCCGAAATACCCGACAATTGTCGATTTCTCCAAAAGCATCGAAGGGGGATGGGTACTTGTTTGAACATCTAGGCCCCCCTTTCGGCCATCAATTTCAATGGAGATTCAGTAGCGAACCTCAAAAACGGTTGTCGACCAAAGGATGCCAATAGAAATTATACCCGCTTAGGACCTGGATACTTCCCCGTCTGCTTTGGAAGCAAGCAACCTACAAGGTCTGCTTGTGAGATGGGGGGTTTGGCCAGATTTGGGCCTGCTGAACCAACATGTAATCCGCTAAACTGCTGGACTTGCGTCCAACTATAACTTAAGCATCAAGGCATTCAAGTGTTATTCAGGAAAATTCATTCAGGTATCCCCACTACCGTATCAAATAAATGTAGTTGGGGGACCCCCACAGCGGGATACCAGGGTTGTCGTTGGGAAACATTTTACATTTTTGCTTTTTGTGGTTTAGTGGGAAATCCCCACGTACCTGCTAAAATTTAAATTTTTGCTCCCCTTCCAACGTCGACTAAGAGTAATACTGCGGGTCGTACTTTTTTGACATGGCAAACTCTGTGGTGCTCAACCCCCGACTTTGGATCGGTTTCGCGCAGTTGGGGATGACAGCTGGCGGTTTCGGTTGGGATCCCCCCCCCCCAGCTTCCCAAAGCTGTCCATTCCTGGGGTCTCCTCCAAACTATTTGGGATTTTAGGGTAGGTTAAAAATAAAGCGGCATCATCAAATGACGATGTTCGGAGTACCTGAGTTCCCCAAATGTCGGCTTATTCATTCCCAAAAGCCTTCCTTCATCGCAAAACCGTTTATCCACTGACCCAGCTTTTTTTAGGGTTTGGCCTTCATGTTCATTCCCACCTCTCAAATCATTCCCAGAGATTCTGCAGTTGTTGCAAAGGTAGGCAACCAGCCATTCTCCTTTTGGATTAAAGGTTTCTTTTTTGGTCACCTACGAAAGTCAGGAGCCTACTAATTGGTGGTTTGGATTGGTAGTTCGGATTGGTGGTTTGGGGAATTGAACCCTTGGTTCTTGTGGAGGGTAAATGGGAAACCTCTTGTTCACCCAAAAAAAGCTGGGCTCCAAACCATTTTTTTGGGAGGGAACCTGATGTAGCACCCACTAATTGGTGGTTTGGATTGGTGGTTTGGGGAATTGAACCGTTGGTTCTTGTGGAGGGTAAATGGGAAGCCTCTCCTTCACCCAAAAAAAGCTGGGCTCCAAACCACCCTTTTGGGAGGGAACCTGATATAGAGGGGAAATGTTTTTTTTTTTTGGTTTTTCTCTTTTTTTCTGGTTACCTGCGAAAGTCACGCACCCACTAATTGGAGGTTTGGATTGGTTTGGGGAATTGAACCCTTGGTTCTTGTGAAGGGAACTGAGATTCCAACCACTGACAATCCAACCTTTCAGCGCTCGCCAGACCATCAAGGGCGCGCGGGTGAGCATCCAACAGTCTCAAGTGGCGGAGGGCCGTGGAACGCATGCCAGCAGAGGGCACATGTGAAGCGACTCCGACGCTCCGCAGTTTTTTTTTCCAACTCTCACTTCAGTTGCTGGACTTTGACACTTGTTGAACGTCACTTGAACGAAGAAGCGCTTTCTTCTGGCTTGATTTCTTTTTGAAACTCTTTTGGAGAAGGCGTTTGTAGCCAACGGTGTCCTTTTTAGCTGAGTTTGGTTCAAAATAGATGGGTTCCACAAGTTCCACTGGTTTAGATGGGTTTCATAAACCATTTAGCAAGGAAACCCATCTATTCTTCCAAAAGGTCACCTATGCATGGTTGTTGTTGGGAAGCGTTTTACATTTTTGCTTCTTGCGGTTTAGCGGGGAATCCCCACTTAACTGCTAACCAAAATAAGTTTTTTTGCTCCCCTTCCAACGTCAACCAAGTATGTCTGTACCAAGTTGTTTCAGCAACACGTCCGACTTGTGGAAGTGGATCCGTTCCTGGATCCACTTTGGCAGGTCACGAACTCAGACCACCCCCCCCTTTCTGTGAGGCCAAATGCGGTGATCCTGTCCTTTTTTGGAGTCAAGGTGCCCTTCTTGGAGTTGGTTTATATTCAAGGCCAAAGGACCACCACCCATTTTGGGGGTACAAGCAAACATCTGTTTTGAGACAGACCCACTTGTACGATGATGATCCCATAGCCGTCGCTGGGGGCGACGAGGCCAGATCCTTTCAATTGCGCGAGCCGCGAAAAGCACAGCAAATCCGTTAGAGTCTGATTGGCATCTCACCATATGGGTGTCTCTTTTGAGGGTACCCTTCTTGGAGTGGTTTTAAAGGGAAGCCAAAAAGGACCCTTACAGCCTTTCCCAATGTCAGCACCTCTGACAAGTCCCGCCGTGATCTCGTTCTGAAGACTTGGTTCTCAGATTCCGGTCGGTTACTCCAACCCGAACCAGCTGGCTGGTTTCTTGCAGAGCCCGAAACCTCTGAGAACCAGCAAGAACAGAGCTCCATCGCTCTAGGAGTATGGCCACATCTCAGCGAGAAAAGAGCGGACACTGCCAGCCGGCTTTTGGTGTGGCTGCCTCTCAAGATAAAGATAGAGTTCCCCCTTTTGGCATACGGGTGTTTCTCCAATTTAGGGGCAACGTGAGGTTGATTTCCTTTGATTTGTCCCTTAAAACTGTCCGGATTCCTTAGATCTTGCAAATGAAGAAACCACATCAAACAGTTGTTTCACGTTTCCTTGCCAACTGGCTTGGGTCAGCGGCATGTTTAGTTTTAACACAGGCCCAATTCTGGCTGCCGGGGGGTGGCGGGGGGTGGCGGGGGGTGGCGGGGGGTGGCGGGGGGTGGCGTGGGGTGGGGTGTGGTGTGGGGGGTGGGGTGGGTTCTGGGAATTGTTTTTTTGAGTCAGTCCCATTTTGGGAATGCTTCATATTTCTATTGGTGCTGTATTATATGAAACAAGACGATGGTGCCCTACTCCAGTTGAATTCACGAGTAGAACAGTAGATCCCGCTAACATTATCTGGGATATAGGAGAGAAAGAACCATTTACCTTTGCACAAGCTATAGATTATTGGCGCATATTTAACCACATTGTTGTGAAGCATTTGTTGCACTTGAGTCATGCTAGTAATTTTGATCATTTTTGAGTTTAGTGAATCCGATGGCATCGTATCGTTTGAGTTTTTGTACCTCAATGTCAAATTTTTGGTCACCTGAGATATATGCACACACACTAGCAAAATGACAAGACATGTACGCAGGTATTTTTTTTACTCTGTTTTGTACTGGACAGATGCTCCTTTTTGTTTTTCTCATTTTCTGTTGCTCTAGATCTACATTGACTTCTTGAACGAAGCCGCGGCTTTTTTAAAATTTTGAAGGGACGCTGAGTGGACCACACCCTGCCCCCGTCCCTGTTTGCGGAAGAGAGTCAAGACAATATTTTTGACCAGGTCAAAGAAAGATCCTGACCCTCAACCAGGTCGAAAAAGGACCCTACACAAAGCAATTCCCTCCATTTCTTCGCAGAAACCTCTCTCGTTCTCGGCCAGGCTGAGGAGCACACTGCATGGCCTCTCCAGGCAGGATGCGGGTTTCGCAGTTTCTTTCCGCAGGAGATTCCTTTGGAGGCTTTGCTTTAGACGCTGCTTACACATGCTCAAGCCTATATCTAGGGGTTGATTCCCCATTCTCTCGTCTTTCTTCTTTCACGAACCAGGCGTTCCTTCTGGGCTTTTGCGGTTTATTGTAAAGGAGGAATGCGGGGCAATCAGAGGGCGCTCCTGAAGACAGTTGTTTTTGTCCCACGCACATAGATATTTGTGTCCAATGGGGTCAAAAAGAGAATCCCGTCCCTTGCCCTTTGGTTCGACCGAAATAACCTTTCACCTTTTGCAAAAAGGACAACGACTTCCCACAGGGTTGGGCAACATGCTACACAACCACCCTATCTAGAAAATTAATGTCCAGATAGTCTGGGCCCTTGACACCAAATCGTGGGGCAACAAACCCGGAACAAGTCTGGTATGGGGTTGAATTGACCTCACCCGGCACCAGGAACAAGCTAATGATGGGAATTCTTGGACTTCCAATCAACAATACTGGCTTGGCCGAGGGTGGGAGGAGAGGAGGGGGAACGGGACATGAGGGGAGGGGATTCCCTTACCCCCCCAAAGCGGCCGTTTTGAGCCGTCTTGGGGTTTTCCCTCATTTGTTCTTTGCCACTTCCTGAGTTGCCTTGAACTTTTGGGTTTGGAGCACTTTCATGGGAACCCATTTGTGACTTTCTCAAAACCACTCAAGTGAGCCACTTTCTCAAACCCCGGGTGGAGGAAGATTAGGAAAGTTTTTGAATCCCCTTGCCCAAGAAGTAGGCGCCTTCAGCGCCTTTTTCGCTTCTCATGCTGAGACCATCTGTGTAGGTTTCGACTGCTCAAGTCAACTTTTGTGGCTTCCCTCTTGAACTTTTTGGGGTCCCATCTTGGGAAGCAAGCCGTGGATGGGACAAAATCTATTTCACACCGCCTTATAGACTTTCTTGCCAGAAGTGAGACGCCACCCATCGCCCCATCGCCAGCTCCCGAGTTCCGAGTGGCTCCGATCCGCCAGGAATCGGCCAGCGCATGTCCAGGGCCGTCTCTGCTACTGTGCCCGGGCGCCCGAATCGATGCCAAGGCGCTGGGCCCGGGCGATGCTTTCCGCGATTTTTCGGTGTTTGCGGTGGTTGAAACGGGGTTGGAACGCGGCAACTCAGCTTCCCCCCATTTGGAAGCTTGGATGGGCGGCTTGGGGCGGCTTCTGGTAGAAAATGGGAAAATGGGAAAACCCCCCCCTTAACCTCCAAAACACCCTTGACTCCAGACCACGGGAAGCTGATCCGTGATTTTTTCCTCAGCTGGAAGCTTTGGGGTCGATCGGCCCAGATATGCTCTACATTGGTCTGGGGCGGCTTTCAGGGTTTCGGATGGAGGGTTGCGGATGGAGGGGAACCCCGGGCTGCTGGGGAGACGGGCAAGGTAGCCAGCATCTTTTCGACAATGCCCAGCATCGTTGTGGTCG